AGTATCCAATTTTCCTCTAAATTAAAGTTTCGAAAGAATATTTTTAGAGAAAAGTTGAAAGTATCAATTTTTCCTGTACTAGAACAATCATTCTTCTTTTTTATTTGATTTTGATTTTTCTTTAAATAATTCGACGATGGAGCCTCTGCAAGTGAAACAGTAGTTTTCTTGCATACTCCTGAGGTGAGGGGATTTTCCAATTTCTACTAAAAGTATTAGAGTCAATTGAGAATAATTTTCAATAATTAATTACTGGATAAAATTTTAAGGCTCATTAGATAACACAAATTTAAGCTGGTACCATCTTTTGATGGACGTTGTGAGGGTGCTATAACCTTCTTCACACGTAACCGAACTCTCGAACCCTGTTCTGGTTAGTAAACCTGAACCTATTCTTTTAGGGACCCTTAAACTTAAGTATTCCCTGAAAGGACAGATTCTTTAGGTGGCCAATCGCACCTAGATAAAAAAGATTGGTGGCGACTCCCTTAAATCAATGTCTAGCGATAGATCCCCGGATCTAGACGTTATGACAAGAATTATAAGTCCGTATTCTATTAACAAATCACATAATCTAATTTGTGATTTTGAGTTGGAGCAAGGCAAGACTACCAATTTGTGAATGTTTGTTAGCCGTTACATCAAAAAATATGCCCACTTATTAATTATATACACCCCACCTTTTCAATTTTTCTGAGCAATTAATTAAAATCATTATAATTAAGCCAATTGCATCATAACTATTGAATTTTTAATTTTAATAATCAAAATTAATTTTCATAACTTCAAATATTAAAAAAATAATAATATCAGAAAATAGTGTTTCTACACCGTTGGTATGCTGGTTAACAAGGATTTCAAGGTTTCTTTTCTTTCTCTTTCTATCTTAATTATTCCTCTTACTACCAAAGTATATTCCATTCAATGATGAATGAGATCTACTGCAGTTTAATTGATTTCTAATTCTTGAGATAAAAAAGTAAAGTACCACCCAAGACCACATTTTTAAGGTTGCTATAAATCTTTTTTCTAAGATTTAGATGAACCTTTTTGAATGGTAAATCTTGATCATGACAAGGGTTTTTTAAAGACGATTACAGGTGATCTATTAGTAGAATATAAATTTTTAATTCTAGCAATCAAAATTAAATTTTAATAATTTTACATATAAAAAAATAATATAATAGAATGAAAAGTCATATGCTGAAATCGAAAAGCATTTTTTTTATTGTTGGTTCTATATTTTTGGTACAATTAACACATTTATAAATTTATTTCTAGCTATGAACAATATTGAAATGTTACATTTTACAGGTAATTCCAAAGGAAGCAAGGGAATTTGAGCTTGGAGAAACAAAGTATTATGTTGTTGCGATTTGGAGTGCAATAGTATGGCAAGTGTTTCTTCTTGGGAGCAATAGGAGTAATCTTTTGTGCTTCATCTTTGTTATCAGGTATCATAATTGCAGTTCTATTACCCGTCACAGAGATTCTGGCAGTAATTTTCTACAAAGAAAAGTTTCAAGTAGAGAAGGGTGTGGCTCTTGCACTCTCTCTTTGGGGCTTCATTTCACACTTCTACGGTGAGATTAAGCAAATCAAGAAAAAGAAGCCAGCTCCTGAAACAGAGATGCCATCAGTTCCCAATAGTGTGGAAAGTGTTTAAATATTTGTGATCCGACCAATTCCAGGTTCCAACTTCGCTTGGCTAATGGTTTCTTGGTATATTGCTCGATCCTAGCTAGTTAGTTAGATAAGAAATTACCTTTGCATGTTCTTGTAAGGATTCGATTTTCTAATAATTTCAGGTTTAAAACACCGGCAACTATGAATACATTAAATTCCCAAGTATTCTTTCCTATTTTCGAATTTAACATCAGAATATATACACATCATGCAAGTCTTATGTTTTCTTAAGTATGTACATATGTCACGGGTCGAGACTTAAGCTTCGAATTCGCGCGGTTTCGAGACCCGGGCATTCACCCTTTCGACATTCCAGATCAGCCTTCCACCACGGTTCACACCCTTGTGAGGTATTATCTGCTCTGACCCCCTTGACCTCACGATTTTGTCCTACAAAAAAGACCTCACAAGACGGAGATGGTGTGAACCCTTTTATACCCCAAAGACCCTCTTATTATGTTCGATGTGGGATTCAGGACTCTTCCTTAAGTCCGTGACATTCTCTCGCACCCAACCTCATGACGCTCTCGTCACGGAGGCTGACCACCATGCCTGCCTTCCTTGAGGTGCTTGGCGTGGATCGAACAGTTTAGGGCTGGCTCTGATACCATTTGTCACTGGTCGAGACTTAAGCTCCCAACCCGCATGGCTCCGGGACCCAGGCATTTACCCTTCCGGCGTCCCAGATCAGTCTTCTGTCACGATTCACACACTTGTGAGGTATTGTCCGCTTTGACTCCCTTGGTCTTACGGTTTTGTCTTACAAAAGACGCTTCACAAGACGGAGGTGGTGTGAACCCTTTTATACCCCAGGGATCCTCTTATTATATTCGATGTGGGATTCAGGATTCTTTTTTAAGTCCGTGACACATACATGAATATTATTATTCTTAATTTTTCCATTTCTTTGTCAATGTTTAAATTAACATTTAACTTTCAAATATGCATAAGATATTGGCTAAGTAATAAAGAGAATTTACTTATCTTTTGATTACTTCAGTTAGAATCTGTTAAAAAAAATTATAAAAAGATAAATTTTTATAAATTTATTGAATTTGATATAAATAAATTAATTTAGACTAATTCAAAAAAAAGTATCCAACAATATTTAAAAATCTTTTACCGCTAAAAAAAAAAAAAAACAAATAGATACTAAAACAGTTTTTGAGAAACTATTAAAATAATAACGTAATAATAAGAAAAAACAAAACAATAATACGACAATAGAAATGAATGAACCTTTTCGTTTATTGGATGTCGAAAAGCAAATGCTATTACAACAACCCAACAATTATACGAGCAGACAGCTAGACGACAATGAGTCTATGATAGCACCAAAAGTGATAAAGAAGGATGCCCTCTTTTAATGCCTCAATAATGGCTAACCAGATGAATCATGAAACTACTGTTAAGAGAATTGAACCCTCTATAAACAGAAGAAGCCACAAAAAAAAGGGCCCATTTCTTATATCCTCCATGTGCATGCATATCTTGTTCATTGCCTCGAGTCAAGTTCGGCCCATTATCTTTTTGAGGAAGAGTAGGATTCGCAGGAGTAGAGAAAACTCAATCATAAACTTAGGAGCCGTCACATGCTCAGGAACTGTCTCCCACCTGTAACTTCAACCAGTAGATAGCTGCTGATAAAGCCTGTTGTCCATTTCAGGGTTTCATCATAATCAAAATAATTACTAAAGGACTCAATGTTACCCAACAAATGTTCAGGCAACTGATGTATGCTAGAAAATTCCAAATCTGTAAATTCAACCAACTGCTCTGAAATTTTTTTTTTTTTTTAGGTTTTCAAGATTGAACCTGATTATTAGAATTGTAAGTCCATATTCTATTAACAAATCACACAATCTATTCGAAAGATAAGATAAACCATATTCTATAAAATGCAAATGAGGAACATGACAACATCCACAATGATAAGGTCTGTTTCGTTTTTGGTTCATGTTGATGCCAAACAGCTATTTAATGAACAGTTAAGATCATGTAAATAATAGTATTATGCCTAGAACAAATGTGTCAAAATCTGAACCATCAAATTAATGATGTAAATGAGTTTTTGAGAACTGGATTATCAGATAAACATTATTGAGATGTAAACTTACCAATTGCCTTCAACAGTGATGTCATTTTCATTATTAATTTCCTCCTTTGCATGTTCTTGTTGCCGGTCATTTATTGAACTGCGAAGAGGGCGTACGGAAGGAGAAGAAAAATGACAGAATAAAAATTAGGAAATGTGTTTTTTCAAAGAATCTACATTCCACTGAACTCAGGCTTCAAAAGTAATAATCATATTAAATCATTCCAATATTTTCACATTAGTACAATATTTGACTAAGATACATAAAAAAAACCTCAGTTCTGGCAAACAGGTGACAGTGTAAAAGAAAGTTTTCGTACCGTATCAACAATAAGCTCATATGATGAACACTGACATTTTAAAACAGCAATGGTAACGGTAACTCTGAAAACTTTGGACTGACAAGACATAAATGATAGCAGTTACCAAAATTATCAACCACAATTCACATTGGGGGTTAGAACAGAGGCTATAATTTACAAGTAAAAATGACCCAGATGGAGCAAAGGGCTGGCTATATTCGAACTTCAATTCTTCCAGCTCATAAAGTCTGATACTTAGCTATAGTAAGCACTCATGTTTCTACACCATTTCAGATTTTATTGAAAAAACTTGCTAGCCATGACTTGTAAGTTGACAGTAAAAACATCTTCTGGTCACTAAACTAACCGGTGATATCGAAAATGAATAACTGTGCTTGACAACCATAATGAAAGTTCCATTTCCACGAGGCAGAAATGCCTAACATCAGCAGAGTTGAAAATCAATAAGATCGAGCATTTTCAAGGCAAATGATTCCCACAATTCCACTTTGACTACTATAGGATGCTTAGCTTTCAGTTTATCTTTTGATGAACTAGTATATTGAATTAAAAAGATCTTAGTAGATTATCCAACTTCACTCTGCATTAAAGGAGAGAAAAAAAAATAGTAAACTTTGTAAGTAGTGTCACTAGGGCAAAGTTTTGAGGTAAAAGTCATTTTAGTAAGCGTCACCATAATTTCCTAATGACAGAAGCATAATATACTCACTAAGCCTCACTTCAAACAGGAAGACAACTAGGCATGCTCAAACAAATGAAATATCTTAGGTGCAATGCTCTCCAAACTGATCTATGTATCTTCAAATCATCGGTCAAATGTAGGGATAACCAAACCAATAATATAAACTGGAATAAGCTGAAAGAAGCTTACGTAGGCAAATTAACACGGAAACGGACATATTGATCTCCATGGTGTACTAGAAAACCATGCTTTGGCGGTCCTACAGGAACTCACAAAGAAAGCATGCACATTTATGGCAGGAAATCAGACACGGGAGTAAATTCAAGCAGCACCAAGAAATAGGGAGAGGAGGTGGGGCAATAGGAGGGAATGATTAAACATACCTTTATCTCTTAAAGCAAGAAGTTCTTCATGTTGACATCCTTTTGGTATCTGGGGACACCGTAATTTTAAAACACAAAAAAGGTTAATATTGAATACATTGATTCATGTGAATTGTTAAAATTAATAAAAATAATAGGGCTCCAGACAATGGGCCAAAAAACAAAAAAGACAAGGTACCTATATCAACATGAGAAATTCATGTCAGTTTTCATACATTAACAGGCCAGGAACATGATCAAACTGAGACTTATGTCCAATAATCTTTAAAGATTCAGTACTTAGTTTTGCTTAACCAGACTATCTCCTCTAATACCAGAAAATTTACACATTTTCTTATGACTTTCAGTAACTGTCACTGTAATGCACCAACAAATAAAAGAGTAGAATAAAATCAAAAGTATTACTTTCACTTGAATCTTCGCCGACAGTGTAGGCACCTCAACTGTACCACCAAGAATTGCCTGTAAGAAATCCAAACATCAATTCTTGATAGAATTATTTGGATTCTGTTTGCAAATCTATAAACTTGTTCGACAAGGTATGATAGTCAACAAAAAGTTTAGTTTAAAAAGAGCAAGTATGCACACATTTAGAAATCAACTGAGATGTCTTCGCGAATAATAACAGATAATATAGTATAAGCCTCTAAAAAGATCAAGGTGAGATTGGAACATCTCACTTCCTCAAAAAAAAAAAAAATGGTCTAACCTTGCCATTCTCTTCCTCCACCATCACCAACACCTTCACCATCTCCTCCTCTTCCATGCAACCATGTCATGACAACACCTCCACCAAAACACAACCACCGTCACCACAAGCCATCTGCACCACATCATCATGATGTTCACCATAAGCCTCCTCCATCGCCACCACTACCATCTTATCCAGCATGTCTCCGCCAACCCCGACAAATGTCCCAGTATCACCACCAGAAATAAACTCCAAATGCACCATCACCAGCGGCATCACATTAATCTGCCCCTCCAAAGCCAAAGTACCCCTTCTAGTCCAGTTCCAATGCCCTCGCCACATCCTGCAAACGCAACTCCTCCAAGTAAGGCATCACCCCTAAACCCTCATATATATCCACCAAGCCCTGGTAAAGTCCAACTCACCTCCAAAATTACCGCCAACAGCTGCAACTGGCCCATACATTGGTAAAGCACCTCCTACTCCCTACAAGGGATTACCACCTCTCTCTGCACCTGCACCTCCAAAGCCAACTCCAAGTACCCCTTCTAGTCCAGCTTCATTGCCCCTGTCGTGTTCCAACTCCTTCAAGTAAGGTGTTGTTATTTTTGAAGCAAAGAAAACTTCCACACTTTCTTAGCATCAAAAACATTACAATTTAAAGCTTAATTAATAAAAACCCACTAAAATCATGGTCCTAAGATTACACCATGACCACAAACATGAATAACAAAAAATAACCAACACCAAAAAAACATGAATAATTTTAAACATTCAACTAAGCAATATTTATGAATCCACATCAGCAGTCCTAAACATATCTTCTAACACTCTTCCTTGCTTTAGGAGTTGCAAACACCAAGTTTTGTCCTCAGAAATTCAAACTTGCTAACCGGTAGTGGCTTGGTGAAAAAATTTGCAACCTAATCTTCTACTTTGTGGTAGACAAGAACAACAACTTCATCTTTCTATACTTCCCTTAAAGAGAATAATTTAATATTGAAACGCTTAGTTTTCCCGTGAAACACAGGATTTTGAGATATAATAATAGTAGTTTGGTTGTCAACAAGAATTTCCATGCTTTTCTCCTACTCCAAGTTAAGATCGATTAAAATCTTTCTTAGCCATAAAGCTTGATTAACAGCAATTGTTGCAGCAATAAACTCTATTTCAGCTATGGATTGAGCTATAGTTTCTTGTTTTTTTTAGCTCTATGAGAAAATACCAAAACCAAGTGTGAAACAATAACCTGAAATGCTCTCCATATCATCAATGAAACCTTCCCAATCACTATCTAAGAAACCAACTAGTTTGAACTCTTTTTTTCTTGTGTATTTAATGCAAAAATCACATGTGTTTTTCGCATATCTAAGCACCCTCTTTGTAGCCTTGAGATGTCATTCACTTGCACAATGCATAAACCGAGACAAAATGCTTACAACATTCAAAATGTCAAGCCGAGTTGCTAGGAGATACATCAAGTAACCAATCAGGCTTCTGAAATATGCCCGATCAATCTTCTATGTTCCATCTTATTTATCGAGCTTTTCCTTTGAATTCATCGGTGTGCTCAATTTCTTTACATTATTCGAGTTTAAACTTCTTCAAAATCTTCTTGGCATATTTCTTCTGACAGATAAAGACTTCATGTTCATTCTGTTTGATTTTCATTTCAAGAAAAAATGTCATCAATCCAAGATCTGTCATCTCAAAAAACTCCATCATCTCTTGCTTAAACTTCTTCACAATATTTGTGTTGTTTCCTATCACAAACAGGTCATCTGCATATAATGAGATGATAAGAATGTCAGCTTCATTGTGCTTGACATATAATGTTGATTCAAATAAGCTTTTAGCAAATCTCAAGTTCTACCAATGTTCATCAATCCTATTGTACCGAGCTTTTGGAGCTTGTTTCAATCCGTAAAGTGTCTTTTTAAGAAAATAGACCTTGTTTTCTTCTCTTTCCTTTACATAGCCTTTTGATTGCTCTACATAAATATCCTATTACAGAAAACCATTCAATAATGCTGACTTAACATCTAATTGGTACTCCTTCTAATTTTTTTGCGTTGCAACGATGAGTAAGAGCCTGATGGTATTGAGTCTAACAACTGGTGTGAAAGCATCTAAGTAATCCACACCGAGTATTTGAGCATATCCTTTGACCACGAGTCTAGCTTTATACTTGTTGATTGAGCTATCAGCATTAAGCTTGGTTCTGTACACCCACTTGACTCCAATTACTTTTTTATTTTGGGATCGATCAATCGACTCTCATGTTTCATTCCTTTCAATCATAAACAACTCCTCATTCATTGCAGCAATTCAATTTTGATCCATCTTGGCTTTTTCATAATTTGTAAGTTTACACAGTAATAATGCATCTTTAACAAACATCATAAAATAGTTTTGTGCCTCTAATAAGACTGTCATCCACCATTTCATTATCTCAATCTCTAATGTTTTTGTTCTGCTATGTCCAAAATAAAAAACTTGAGCTTGGGCTCTTTTAAGGTTGGATCCATCTTCTTTGCATCATCCCAGTTCTATTTTTCATCTTCCATAAAGTGCATATCCTTGCTTATAATAATTTTTTTAGTTTGTGGTTGAAAATTTTATAAGCTTTTATAACCGAGCTGTAGCCAATGAAGATGCCTGAAAGTGCTCTTTTATCTAGTTTATCTTTCTTGATCTATGAAACATGAGTGAAGCACAAACATCCAAGTATTTTAAGGAAATTCAGAGATGGTTTATAACCATATCATGCCTCAAAGGGTGTTTGATCTTTTATTGCTCTTGTGGGAAGCCTGTTTTACAAAAAAATAGTAGTTTTTGCTGCTTCAGCCCAAAATTGCTTTGACAGGTTCTTCTCATGTAGCATACATCGTGTCATCTCTAATATGAATCTATTCTATCTCTCATTTACTCTATTTTGTTGTGGAGTGTATGGAACGGTTAATTGATGTTAGATGCTTGCCTCATCACAAAAATGATTGAATGTTTTAGAGGTGTACTCTTTGTCATTGTCTGATATAAGAGTTTGAATTTTACAGCCATTCTCATTTTCAACTCTGGCTTTAAAGTTTCAAAAGACTTGAGCCATCTCTGACTTATGCTTTAAAAAAAGATACAACACATACGGATGAAATATCAATGCATACAACATAATAAAGACTATCTTTCAGAGAAGACGTTCTTTGTGGGCCTGCAATGTCAATATAAATTAATTGTAACTTTTTTTATGCTCTTCATGTTGCATTGGGAAATGGTTTTCTACTTTGCTTTCCAAACTGACATGCTTTACAGTTTGAAATATGATCATCAAGTTCTGAAAGATCATTTGCCATCTTCTTAGATTTTTTTTACAGTAGCCCTTGATAATGATAGTGCCTAAGCCTCTTGTGCCATACTTCAATAATATTTTTTTTGATTGAGAAAGCAGCTTTCTCCTCCTCCAATAGATTTAGAGTAAATCTTTTCCCTTTCATTTTTACTTTGAAAATATCTTAGCCAACTACATCTTTAATCAAGCAACTTTTGTCTTCGAACATAATTTTATAACCTTTTTCAATTAGTTGTCCAACATTTAACAAGTTTTGATCAATTTTAGGGACATACAACACATCAGAAATGAACTTTGTACCTAAACAAGTTGAAATTACAACTATTCATTTTCCTTACATAGTTATATACTTGCCATTACCAATTCGAACCTTCGATGAGTTTGCGTTGCTTAGTTCCCTAAATAGATCTTTGTCATATGTCATGTGGTTAGTACAACCACTGTCTATAAGCCAACTCTCACTTGATTCGATGCCAGAGAAATATGTAACGATGAATAGGTGATCCTCCTTTTCTTGATCAGCAATCTTTGCATATTCACCATATTGTTGATTTTTATTTTTATAGATAACAACTTCATGCCCCATCAATTACATTCAGTGCACTTAGCATCAGGTTTTCTCTAGCATCTAAATGGAGAATGACTCTTCTTTTCACTATGTTGGCGAGGTGGATAGGATTTCTTTTGATTTTCATTCTTTCCTTTTGTATTGGCTGATGCTGTACTTGCCCCATTTCCTTCAAAATCATTTTTCTTCTTTCTTTTATTTTTGGCCATATTTTGATGCTTGGCTGCCAAAGCTCCTTCGATTATTGTATCCTCCGTTATCAGTCTTTTTTGTTCTTGTGCTTGTGAAGTGTTAAATAATTCTACTAAGAAAATTTTTGACAGATCCTTCGTATTCTCCAAGGTAATGATGGTTGCTTCATATCTTTCAAGTACTATAACAAGAATTTTTTCTACAATTCTTGAATCAGTAAATTCAGATCCAATAAGCCTCACCTTGTTTACGATACTAAGAAGTATGTTGGAGTAATCTTTAATCGTATCGAAGTCTATCATTCTTTGAAGTTTAAATTCCCTAATCAAGTTTAGGACTTGCATCCCTTTAATTCTTTCATCTTTTTCATATTCATTCTTGAGATAATCTCATATCTCTTTTGCTGACTTTAGAGACATGATACGAGTGAAGATGGTGGATGAGACTACAGCAAACAAGCAAGCCTTTTCCTTTGATTTTTTTGTCTTCTTTTCTTTCTCCACTTTTATCTGTGCTTGGTGGGATTGTTCGAAAATGAAAGAATTTAATAGTCTTCTTTCACTGCTTCCTAAATATCCAAAGCTTTCAAGTATGTCTCTATACGTACTATCCAAATTTGATAGTTGTCTCTGTCGAACATCGCCAGAGCAATTGCAAAATGACTGGCTTCGGCTTTTATGACGCGTCAAATTCACACACAGATTCTTTAAGAAGAGAGCTCTGATACCAAATGTTGTGATTTTTGAAGCAAAGAAAACTTCCACACCTTCTTAGCATAAAAAACATTACAATTTAAAGCTTAATTAATAACGATCCACTAAAATCATAGTCCTAAGATTACGCCATGACCACAAACATAAATAACAAAAAATAACCAACACCAAAAAAACAAGAATAATTTTAAACATTCAACTAAGCAACATTTATAAATCCACATCAACAATCCCAAACACGTCTTCCAACATAAGGCATCACCCCTAAACCCTCATACCCACCAAGCCTTGGAAAAGGTCCAACTCTACCACCAAAACCACCACCGGCAGCTACACCTGGCCCATACATTGGTAAAGCCCCTCCTGCTCCCTACAAGGGACCACCAGCAAAACCACCAAAATCTTCGTCACCGCCATACTCACCACCAAAACCAACACCAGGTTTATCTCCTGCAGCTGCACCTACTCCTTATGGGGCAACCCCACATTTCAGTTCTGTGCCATCACCATCAGACGTATTAGCAGCAGCACCACCACCACCACCAGGAGGCAACAACACAACTATTAGCGCCGTGTGCGTTTCGCTCGGTGGTGTATTGTTCCTGGCATTCCTTTTGGTTGGTATCATTTGTCTGGCAAAGAAGAAAAAGTAGCCAGTAATGGTTCCTGCAGCAGTACCTTGCTCTGATGAAGAACGTGAACAAGCCTACGAGACACCCCCAACAAACCCATATGCGGCATCATCTGTGCACGACGCTCATATTCACCAGCAAGCTAGAGGAGCCGGCACTGTTGGTTCATATGTTGGGGCCTCGGATAGACCTCGTTGTGATCCAGGGTTCGGCGGTGGTTCTTCTCATCGCTGAGACTACTAATTAAATTCATCAATTGTTCAAGGGTATAGTAATTAGATTGCTACTTGCATGTAGCAGCTCTACTTGGTCTTTGTGCCAGTTCAGCTCATTTAATTATTATTGTTTGCTAGTTTCATGTATTTTAATAATAAGTATAATTATTGTTTGAAACGTGCTCGTTGACCTGCTGCAGTGAAGCTGGGGAGCACCTTAATGTCGAAAACAAATATATATTTTATTTTATTTACATATATATATATAATGATTATGTATTCATTTAAACTAATATAACTCTCTTGTTTTTTACTTTTAAATTAAAATTAAATCCAACTCATTTGAATTAAAATAATATTTTTTTATTTTAATTCAAATGTCAAATAGCATGTAGCATAAATAATCGTAGATTTAAAGTAAAGTTTATGTTTTTGGCCAAAAAACAAAAGTATTTTAGTACAAGGCTTGTCCTTTTAGGAGAGTGTATTTGATTTTCTATATATCAAGTTTAATTTCAAATCAGAAATTGGAATATATAGCAATGAAATGTAGAAATTATGATTGTATATATGTTAACTTCCCCAAATCTTAGACATAATAACCTACCGAGTTTTCTCTTATTTATTGGCCAAGAATAACTCAAGGGTTTTATTAAAATGAAAACTATTAAATTTTGTAGAATTTTATTTATTAATTCCAAACACTCATGCCTTTAATGTAACGATTTCAATTGGATTTCAAACAAAACAAAACAAAATAAATATAATTTTTTTAGCTTTTAGTATGTTGTCCTAATCTTTATATATTTTATAAGTATTTAAACTATATCTTATAAGCTCGTTTGTTTTTACATTATTAACTATCTATTAATTAATATGACATTCACTTTTAAAATATTTAATTTTAAATAATAATATGTAATAAATAAATAATTTTTTAAATATTATATTAATTAGTATATTTATAATTTAAATGTTATATTAAAAAAAATTTAAGTTTAAATACTAAATTAAATATTTTCTTATAATTAAAAACTATTCGTAATATCCATCCCTAAAAAAATTATGTGCTAAAGGAAATATGGTCAATGGATATGAAGTTGGAAGCGGAACCAGCTTCCAGGCCCAATGTACTTGTATAAAAATGGGCCGTAACATTCAAGCACTGTCTGTCAAATTCTCAAATGTTATAATGTTAAACGAAATGGTATCTATTATTAACACTGATATCTTTAAAAAATATATATAATATATATATATTGTTAAAAAATATTACCAAATCCAAATTATTAGCACGTAAGATATTTTTAAATATGCAAATTGTTGGAGCATGTTACGTGTACGTCTCGTACATGAACAACCTATCTTAATTTTGACAAATAATTTATCATCAAGCCAGAAACACACATATATACGAATTGATATTTCAATAAAGGTTGAATGGAATCGTTTAATTGCTGTCTTGCCTGAAAATTACTCTTACCCCATATCTTCTATCACATTACTTAAAAATTCATATAATTAAATTAAATTTTAATATATTTTGTTAATATATATGGACAAAATTAAACTTCGTAATTATATCATTTTAATAAAGGAGATTTTAATTTAAAAATTAAATTATGAATTGTAAATATAAAATTTTAATTTTAAAATTATTGGATATTATTTATTAAAAATAATTATATAAATTAATTAAATTAAATTTTAAATTTTTATTATATCATTAAATGTTAAAACTTTTCCAAAACCATGAATTTTCTTACAGAAAAAGATCATATATAGCTTGGCTTCATCCTGATTAGACTGAAAACATTAGTGTTGAAGAAGGCATGGCAGGCGAACTGGCCAAAATCGATAATGACAAGTGTTGCTGGACCCTTCAATACTTTTTGCTTTTTTTGCTGTTAGGCTTTGTTTGTTCTGTAAAAATTAACTTTTAAAAAATATTTTTTAAAAAATATTTATATTTTTTTGAGAAAAACAGAGATTTTTTATTTTTGAATGGGTTAATAAAAATATTTTTATTATTTAGTTGTTTTAAAATTTTTTATTTTTTTTCAAATATTAATAATATAATTATTAAAATATAAAAAAAAATTTATTATTAAAATAAATTAAAATTATTAATATTTTAATAATAATAATAATAATATTTAATATTAGAATATTATATTAATATTAAAAATACTTAAAATATCATTTTTATTAATATTAAAATAGTAATATTTATTATTAAAATATTTATATATTATATTAAAAGTATCTATTATTAAATTATAACAAAAAAATTTTATTTATATTTATTATTAAAATATTAATATAATATAAAATTATATATTTTAAACTAAAAATAAAATTATTTTATTAAAAATATTCATATTAAAAAATAATATTATTATAGTGTTTAATATTAATTATTAAAATAATAAAAATATTGTTATATATTTTATTATTTATTATTAAAATAAAGAATAATATCTTAAATGATTTTTGAATTATTGTAATTTGTTAGATTTGATATTTAAATTAAAAAATTATTAAATCGATACTTAAACTATAAAATCATAAATCAATTTAATTAAAGAGTTAACTTCATTAATTTAGATATTGATTTGATTATTTTAATCAATAAAAACCAATCATGTAAATAGAAAATGTCACGTAAGCATAATATGAATTGTTTATGTGATAAAAAATAAATAATAAATAAATTCTAAACAAATTAATTATTTCTTAAACAATCAACTGTAAATTTAATACTCCAATCTTAAATCTCAAATTCAAAAAACCAAGAAGAAATTTAAGCAAAATCGAAGCTTGCAAACGTTAACTCCCTCTGCATCGTCAGTCTTCGTGGGTCTTTCTTTAACCACCCGAGGCCAACATAGCCTCAAGAATCGATCCCCCTGCGACACCGACATCGACGTAGCAAAAAAGCTCTTAGTCTTCGAGGTTGTCTTCTTCAATTTCTTCCTTTTCTTGTCACCAGTAGCTCAGGGTTTAAAACTTACCATCGATCTGTTGAATGGTAAAGATGTCGATGAAGCTTTCAGGGTCCACATTAACCTTAAAGTTTTGAGATTTGGGATGATGGGTTCGGCTGTGGGGTCCATTATGGGGTGCTTGTTTTTTATGCGTTCAATGGTGAATGTGATCGAGATTCGGTCACGGACGTTGTCATGTGGGAGTAAGTCTGCAGTTTATGCGGTGGCGGCTTTAGTTATTCCGGTTTCTTCTGCCAAACCTATCACAAGCTTGATTTTGCTTGAATTTTTTCTGGATTCTTCGAATTTGGAGTTTAGGTTTTGGGTATTGAATTTGAGGCTTGTTGTTTAAGAGGAAATTAATTTATTTGGGTTTAACTTTTTTTCTATTGATTCAATTTTTTTGCAGATTTTTTGATCACATAAATAATCTATATAATATTTACATGTCATTTTCTGCTCACATGGTAAATTTATATCGGTTAAAATAATCAAATCAGCATTTAACCTAACGAAATTAATTGTTGGATCAAATTAATACACAATTATTTAATAATTTTTTCGTTTAAGTACCAAATTTAATAAATTATAATAGTTCAGGGTGATTTAGGATATTAACCCTTAAAATAATTATATAATACTATTAATTATTAAAATATTAAAAAAATCTATGTTTAATAATATACAAAATTAAAATATTTAAGATTAAAATATCAAAAGATTTTTAATGTTAATATTAAAAAATTTTGTAATTAAAATTAAATAAAATATTTTTATTAATATAATAATATTTTTAATCGAATCAAATCAATTTTAATTTAAAATATTATGTTTAAAGATTTATTCGAGTAAAATTATAAAATATTTAAAACTAAAATAATAAAAAAAATTTAATATTAATATTTTAATTTTTAAGTAAAATTAAATAAAAAATTATTTATTAATGTAATAACATTTTAAAATTATAAAGTTAATTCTTGGTTGCTAACTCTGCTATCCCTAGTCCCTGAGAATGCTCTTATCTCGTCTAAGCTGACTAAATCCCTTCTTTCAGATTTCCCTTGGAAAGAGATGCACCCGTCATCGTAATTAGGATTAGGCAGGATTCCTGATTTCAACGCCGTCATTATTAGGATGGATCAGGTCTCAAGACTGATGACGGATAGGATGGGGAAATTACTTTTCATAAATTTTGATTTATTTTTTTATTAATTAATTAATTTTTTATTACATAAAAATCTGAAAATACAAAAATCTGCTATTGGAACCTTAATTTTGAAGGAAAGTGTTTATCCTCAATACAAAATATTCAAAAGTCAAATTTGGATGCTGCCGTCCTGTATATAACACATATATTTGTCAGTAAGTATATTTGTATTTGTCCCCATGAAGTGAACATAGTATAGGACAATTTTTTTTTTTTAAATAGTTTATGCTAACTGCCATGGTATTTTATTTTATATGATTATAAATATTAAAAATTGCTTCTATTTTTTAAACTTTTTTATTCAAAAATTTGTACATTTGGTCCATTTTCTCAAGTAAATTGATGGGTACAAAAATTATCTTCAAGACAATAACAACAGGATTGCCTGATCAGACTGCTGGATTTTTTTTTTTATTAAATTTTGGTAAGATGGATTTGAAACTGATATATATATATATATATTAGATTTTATAAAAAAATAATTATTAGCAGGTCCAGTCCACCAGTGGGTCATTACTATGAAGAAATTAACTCTCGTTAATTTTGTCTTTTAACTTTGAAAGTAGCTAGCTTGTTATAGTTTTTAATTAATCTATAAAAAAAAAATGATTGGCTTTGCAACAATTATAGTTTGTGCAAACAAAGTCAGAACAATAAGTTGACCATCATCCTTCAGGCAAGACAAATCATACTATCCAATATTAAAAATATTTATATTAATGTGATCAACTTATATATTGTCACTATTTAATTATATAATTTATTAATAAAATATTAAAATTTTAATTTTAATGACCAATCAATTTTTAACAATTGTAAATAAAAAAAAAGTCATATATATATATAGCTGGTTGTATGGTCAATAAATCAAGATTAGATATTTATGCCTTGAATAACTATGATTAGTTTGTGGGTCTCAATTTCATCAGCTAACAAGCAGTAATTATATTAATGGGCATTTATAAATATATATGGTTAAATACTTAATTTAAAATCTAATATTTAAATTTTTTTCAATTAAGGATATTAATTTGGTTTAAATGTTTTTAGGTTAGTTCAAAATAAGATTTTGTCATCCTATGCACGTTAAAATAGAGTGATGTCTTTTAATTGCCAGAAAAATAAGGGTAAAATTATATTTTTACCATACAATACAGAGACTTTTTTTTCTTCGTTTCTTTTCTCTCTTCTTTTCCTTCTCATTCGTTTCTCTTCCTTCTTCATTTTTTTCTTCTCTTCTCTCTCTTCCTAGCCGAATCAAGGGCCTTTTTTCTTAGCCACCAGTCATTGGCGTTGCTCCTTCCCACCAACGTCGGTCATCAATTTTTTTATCTCCCTATTCTTTCCTCTTATTTCCTTCATTGAAATGAGCCCATATCTAGAATCCTTAAAGCCTAACCGAAACATATATTCTTTCTACTATTGTTCATGTTTAGATTTTTGTTTTGTTTTTCTACCGGGTTCTTCACTGAAATGACGACTGTGACTTTTTTATTTTCTTTGATTATAGGTAAAAACAGGGTTTTTCTATTGCCTTTCAGGTTTGGGATTTTTAGTTTCGGTGGGTTGTGTTTATACTATTGATAATTTAGAATATGGTCATCTTATATTGAATAAAAAAATTTAATTATTGATGAATAAAATTAATTTTTGTGTTAATTTTATTTATATTTTAAATAATTATATTTGAATAAAAATAATTATCATATGACAAATGATCATAATTATTTGAATATAAATAAATTATTATTCATAAATATCATAATTATATAAAATGTCATAATTATCTAAACAAAAATTTTTATCTATTTATTTATTATGAATAAATCTTTAAATGTAACTATTTTTATTACTTTTGATTAGAAAATTTGAGATTTTATTATATTACAAGAGTATAATCACCTTTAAGAAAGTGATCTTCACATCTCAAAACTAAAATTTTTTTTCATTATTTCTCTTCTCTTATTTATTATTTTTAATAATTTAAAAAACAATTTTTTTAAAATAATTTACGCTAACTGCCATGGTATTTTATTTTATATGATTATAAATATTAAAAATTGCTTCTATTTTTTAAACTTCTTTATTAAAAAATTTGTACATTTGGTCCATTTTCTCAAGTAAATTGATGGGTACAAAAATTATCTTCAAGACAACAACAACAGGATTGCCTGATCAGACTGCTGGATTTTTTTTTTATTAAATTTTGGTAAGAATAAGATGGATTTGAAACTGATATATATATATATATATATATTAGATTTTATAAAAAAATAAATATTAGCAGGTCCAGTCCACCAGTGGGTCATTACTACGAAGAAATTAAGTCTCGTTAATTTTGTCTTTTAACTTTGAAAGTAGCTAGCTTGTTATAGTTTTTAATTAATCTATAAAAAAAAAAAAATGATTGGCTTTGCAGCAACTATAGTTTGTGCAAACAAAGTCAGAATAATAAGTTGACCATCATTTCAGGCAAGACAAATCATACTATCCGATATTAAAAATATTTATATTCATGTGATCAACCTATATATTGTCACTATTTAATTATATATTTTATTGACAAAATGTTAAAATTTTAATTTTAATGACCAATTAAATTTGTATTAATTGTAAATTAATAAACAGCCAGCCAGTAGTATTACAATCATACACAAGCGCAATTTTTTGTGGTTTTGAGTTGGAGCAAGGCAAGACCATAAATTTTTGAACGTTAGTTAGCCGTTACATCAAAAAAGCCCCACTTATTAATTATATACACCCACTTTTTTCAATTTTTCTTAGCAGTTAATTAATATCATTATAATTAAGCCAATTACGTAATTATTATTGAATTTTTAATTTTAATGATTAAATTTTAATTTCTATAATTTCAAATAAAAAAGAGCGTGTCAGAATTAAATTGATAGGAGAATTGCCTAAAACAAGGGGAATTTTCCAGAATTAATTTTCTAACGGAAAAGAGGCCTCCATTAGTAATGGATAGATGCTGAAAAGAATATATATAAAAAATAAAAAATAAAAAAAACGATTTTCCTTCTTTAATAATATAGTATGAAATGAATACACTACAAGAATTAATTTTGTGAATTATATATATATATATTAATTGATATATCAAACACAGATCATTTAAAATTTAAATTTAATTTAAAATATTATATCTTATAAGTTACCACATAAATATGAATATTTCAAATTTGAATATTAATTTAATTGGTTCATGTAAATAATTTTAAGAAATAATATTTAATAATAAATTTAAAATTCAAATATCATTATATGTAATTTTTTTTAATGATCTCTTTTATATTAAAAAAATATAGATATTTCAAATTAATGGTAAGAACATTTTGATTAGATTTACTAAAATTAAACACTAGACAATTGCTTTTCTTCAGATTTTGGTTAAGAACTGCTGATATGACTATCTCATTCTCAGCCTCACTTTTGACTCTTGCCATTTCTTTTTACATATAATTGACGTGTTCTTTCTTGATACAACCACAAGACAGTTTTGCTCTTTGTAAAAACGTACACTCTCCATATATACAACCAAAAGAGACTCCAGTTTTCTCTGTAATTAATCATGGAGGTCGTCAGGGAACATAAACCAGGCAACGCCATGAGAAAAGTTCTCCTAGTAATAAACTGCGTCATTCTTTCTATAGGCAACTGCGGTTGTCCGCTTCTGATGCGCCTCTACTTCATCCGTGGTGGAAAACGAGTCTGGTTCTCGAGCTGGCTCCAGACTTGTGGTTGGCCCATCATCCTTTTTCCTATCGCCTGTGCTTACATGCACCGTTCCAGGACCCAACCCACTTCGGAAAACAAGCTTTTCTTCATGAAACCTCCCTTATTCATTGCCACCGCGGTCATTGGTACCCTGACTGGCCTTGATGACTACTTCTATGCCTATGGCGTCGCCCGTCTTCCCGTTTCAACTTCTTGTTTAATCATTGCCTCACAGTTGGCTTTCACAGCAGGGTTTGCTTTCCTTTTAGTGAAACAAAAGTTCACTTCATATTCCATAAACGCTGTGTTTTTGTTAACTGTAGGAGCAGGTGTCTTAGCTTTGCATACGAGAAGTGACCGGCCTGCAAATGAATCAAACAGGGAATATGTTTTAGGGTTTCTAATGACCCTGGCTGCATCTGCTTTGTATGGGTTTATCTTGCCTTTGGTGGAGTTAATGTACAAGAAGGCAAATCAAGAAATTAGCTACGCCCTTGTGATGGAGATTCAGATGGTGATGTGTTTGTTTGCTACTGGTTTTTGCACCGTTGGTATGCTGGTTAACAATGATTTCAAGGTTTCGTTTCTTTCTCTTTCTATGTTAATTATTCCCCTTACCTGCCAAAGTATATTCCATCTAATGATGAATGAGATCTACTATAGTTTAATTCTAATTCTTGAGAGAAAAATGTAAAGTATAACTCGAAGCCACTTTCTTAAGGTAGCTATAAACCTTTTTTCTAAGATTTAGAAGACCTAAATCTTGATCATAGTAAGGGTTTTTTAAAGATAATTAGAGGTGATCTATTAGTAGTGTTAGATTTATAATTTTAATATTTAGAATCAAATTTTGACAACTTCAAATATAAAAAAGAAAACTTATAGTAGAATGAAAATTCCTATGCTGAAATTGAAAAACATATCTTTTTTTTTTTGGGGGGGAGGGGGGGGAGTGGGTTCCATATGCTTGCTACAATAACACATTTATGAATTTATTTCTAAGCTATGACAACATGAAATGTTACATTTTGCAGGGCATTCCAAAAGAAGCAAGGGAATTCGAGCTTGGAGAAACAAAGTATTATGTTGTTGTCATTTGGACTGCAATAGTATCGCAGTGTTTCTTCTTGGGAGTAATAGGAGTAATCTTTTGTGCTTCATCTTTGCTATCGGGTATAATAATTGCACTTCTATTACCCGTAACAGAGATTCTGGCAGTAATTTTCTACAAAGAAAACTTTCAACCAGAGAAGGGCGTGGCTCTCGCACTCTCTCTCTGGGGCTTCATTTCATACTTCTACGGTGAGATCAAGCAAATCAAGAAAAGGAAACCAGCTCCTGAAACAGAGATGCCATCAGTTCCCAATACTCTGGAAAGTGTTTAAATATTGGTAATCCGACCAATTCCAAGTTCCAACTTCGAGTGGCTAATAGTTTTCATCGGAATATTGCTCGATCAACATATTTGCAAAAGAAGAAAGAAATTTATCCTACCTACTTAGATAAGAAATTTCCTTTGTATGTTCTTGTAAGGATTCGATTTTTCAACAATTTCAAGTTTAACATACCGGCAACTATTAATACATTAAATTCCCAGATATTCTTCCCCACTTTGGAATATACACACATCCTGCATGTATTATGTATATGTACATACATTTATATTATTACTCTTAATTTTTCCATTTCTTTTGTCAATGCTTAAATTAACATTCCATCGGAGGTTAGTTAAGTAATAAAGAGAATTTGCTCATCTCCTAATTAGTTTGAATCTGTTAAAAAATTGTGATAAAATAATATTTTATAAGTTCATTAAATTCAATGTAAATACATCAATTTGAATCAATATAAATAAAGATGTACCGAATAAAACCCAAAAATTCCTTATCACCAAAAATAAATAAATTCAAATAGATACAAAAACCGTTTTTGAGAAACTATTAAACTAATAACGTAATAAGAAGAAATTTTGGAAAAACAAAATAATAATACGAAAATAGAAATGAATGTATCTTTTTGTTTACTTTATAGTAAAAAAGCAAATGCTATACAACAACTCTATGTGCAAACAGCTAGAGCTCTATGATAGGACCAAAGGTGAGGAAAAAGCATGCCCTCTTTTGATGCCCCAATAATGGGTAACCTTGCAAGAGCATTGAACCCTCTAAAAACAGAACAAGCCCCAAAAAAAGGGGCCCATTTCTTATGTCCTCCATGGGGCATATCTTGTTCATTGCCTCGAGTCAAGTTTAGCCCATTGCCCTTTTTAGGAAGAGCAGGATTAGCAAGAGCAGAGAAAACTCAATCATAAACTTAGGAGCCGTCACACGTTCAAGAATTGTCTCCCACCTGTAAGTTCAACCAGTAGATAGCTGCTGATAAAGCCTGTTGTCCATTTCAGGGTTTTAATCACAATCAAAATAATTACTAAAGGACCCAATGTTACCCAACAAATGTTCAGGCAACTGATGCATGCTAGAAAATTCCAAATCCATAAATTCAACCAACTGCTCTGAAGGTTTTTTTTTTTTTTAGTTTGTCAAGACCGAACCCTGGTTATTAGAACTACAAGTTTGTATTCTACCAACAGATCACACGATTAATTTAAAATCTGCTCGGAAGATAAGATAAACCATATTCTAAAAAATGCAAACGAGGAACATGACAACATTCACAGGGATAAGGTCTGCTATCGCCTTTGGTACATGTTGATGCCAAACAGCTAGTTCATGAACAGTTAAGATCATGTAAATAATTGTATTATGCCTAGAACAAATGTGTCAAAATCTGAACTCATCAAATTAATGATGTAAATGAGTGAAATGGAATTATCAGATAAACATTATTGAGATGTAAACTTACCAGTTGCCTTCAACAGTACTGTCATTTTCATTATTAGTTTCCTCCCCTGCAAGTTCTTCTAAAATAGCTCGTTGCCGGTCATTTATTGCACTGTAAAGGGTGGGGGGAGGGAGGGAGAAGAAAATTACAGCATAAAAATTAGGAAATGTGTTTTTTCGGAGAATCTACATTCCACCGAAATCAGGCTTCAAAAGTAATAATCATATTAATTCATTCCAGTATTTTCACATTAATACAATATTTGACAAAGATACATAAAAAATAACCTCAGTTCTGGCAAACAGGTTACAGTGTAAAAGAAAGTTTTCATACAGTATCAACAATAAGCTCATATGATGAACACTCACATCTCAAAAAAGCAATGGTAAGGGTAACAACAACTCATACAACAGTATGCTCTGATATATTTGGACTGACAAGACAAATGATAGCAGTTACCAAATTATCAACCACAATTCAAATAGGGGGTTAGAACAGAGGCTATAATTTACAATTAAAAATGACCCAAATGGAGCAAAGGACTGGCTATATTCAAACTTTGATTCTTCCAGCTCATAAAGTCTGGTGCTTGGCTATAGGAAGCACTCCTGTTTCTACACCATTTTAGATTTTATTGAAAGAACTTGCTAGCCATGACTTGTAAGTTGATAGTAAAACTAAAAACAACTTATGATCACTAAACTAACAGGAGATATCGAAAATGAGTAATTATACTCGACAACTATGATGAAATTTCCATTTCCACGAGGCAGAAATGCCCAATATCAGCAGAGTTAAAAATCAATAAGATTGAGCATTTTCAAGGCAAATAATTCCCACAAATCCACTTTGACTGGTATAGGCTGCTTAGCTTTCAGTTTATCTTTTGATTAACTAGTTTATTGAATTAAAAAGGTCTGAGCAGATTATCCAACTTCACTCTGTATTAAAGGAGAGAAAAAAAAATTTAGTAAACTTTGTAAGTATTGTCACCAGGGCAAAGTTTTGGGGCAGAACTCATCTTAATAAGCATCACCATAATTTTCCTAATGGCAGCAGCATAATATACTCACTAAGCCTCACTTCAAACAGGAAGACAACTAGGCATGTTCAAACAAATGAAATATCTTAGGTGCAATGCTCTCCAGACTGATCTATATATCTTCAAATCATCAGACAAATGTAGGGATAACCAAACCAATATTATAAACTGGAATAAGCTAAAAGAAGCTTACGTAGGCAAATAAACACGGAAACGCACATACTGATCTCCATGGTGTACTAGAAAACCATGCTTTGGCAGTCCTACAGGAACTCACAAGGAAAACACATTTATTGCGGGAAATCACACGGGAGTAAATTCAAGCAGCGCCAAGAAATAGGGAGAGGAGGTGGGGCAGTAGGAGGGAATGATTAAACATACCTTTGTCTCTTAGAACAAGAAGTTCTCCATGTTGACATCCTTTTGGTATCTGAGGACACCATAATTTTAAAACACAAAATGGTTAACGTTGAAAACATTGATTCAGGTGAATTGTTAAAAATTAATAAAAATAATAGGTTCCAGACACGGGCCAAAAAAAGAAAGACAAGGTACCTATATCAACATAAGAAATTCATGCCAGGTTTTCATACATTAACAGGTCAGAATCATGATAAGACTAAGACTCACGTCCAATAATCTTTAAAGATTCAGTACTTAATTTTGCATAACTAGACTATCTCCTCTAACACCAGAAAATTTACACATTTGCTTTTGATTTTTAGTAACTCTTACCGTAATGCACAAACAAAAAAAAGAGTAGAATAAAATCAAAAGTATTACTTTTACTTGAATCTTCCCCGACAGTGTTGGCACCTCAACTGTACCACCAAGAATTGCCTGTAGGAATCCAAACATCAATTATTGATAGAATTATTTGGATTCTGTTTGCAAATCTATAAAGTTGTTCAACAAGGTATGACAGACAACATAAAGTTTAGCTTAAAAAGAGAGCAAGTATGCACACACTTAGAAATCAAATGAGATTTCTTCGCAAATAATAAAAGATAATATAGTATAAGCTTATAAAGAGATCAAGGTGAGATAAACGACATCAGGAAACAAAGCACACATAAAAGTGAAGAGAAAAATAAGAGTTCTGCATCAAATCTTTTGGGTGAAATTGCAAATTTAATCTAATCAGATGGAACACAAAAAGGTGCAGTAATTGCACAGCACAAATTCTTACTTGAGTAAAGCTAATATTAGAGTTGACATAAACATCTGCACCATCTCTAACAAAGACAGGATCTTCTGCGACCTAGATTACAAAAGCAAAGTTCAGAAAGCAAGGACAATATATATCTCAACCAGCAACTAGTAATTAGCTATTTACTTCTGTACTAGCCTATTTGGTGTCCTCAAATCATCATATTTTAGCTTCAGATAAAGGGGCCTCGTGTATGCCAGCTCAAACAAAATGTAGACATAAATCAGAGGACCAGAAATTTTCAAATGCAGAAATAAATCTACGGTTGCACATAATTAACCTTAAGCAACCAAACTTAAGTGAGATTTCTAAAGAAATAAGGCAATGGACGGAACTGCACCTTTATTCTAATGAACAAGTTACCAGGTTGGCTTCCTCGTCGCCTAATATTACCAGCTTCTGGAACACGTATTGTATCTCCAGAATCCACACCTAATCCATTTTTTAGAAGAAAAGCAACAAGAATCAACAAACTTAATGCTACTATCTTAAGAAACACATCTTTTGTGCAGTAAAGATAGAACACTTATGCAAACAAAGGTTTCATCATAGAATTAGTTTGATATTCTTGGATCCATCCAAACCGCATAAACTAAAGGTAGTACTTGTCGTAGAGATAGGTTAATTAACAAAAACTGTATTACTTAGGAACCACTTACACTCAAAAACAAATAAGAAAAGGAAAAAAAGGAAATAATATGATAGGATCTGCAAAGCCAACCTTAGATAAAAAGGAAATAACTGTAAAGATTATCTTAAAGCTATGTGCTAAACCATATGACAAATCCATGTGCAACCACTTTCCTTATGTGAACTGCTACTCATCCTTCTGAAATTGATAAACTGTTTCATCAAAGACAAGCATCTAATATCTACCTGCAGGTATTGTAACTTTTACTTCTTTAACACCTTCAACAACTCCTGATCCTTGGCATGACATACAGTGTTCCTGGATCATATGTGTAAAACCCTTTTAAAATGGCGTACAAGTAAAAGAAAAATAGGGGCTGAAAATCACTTCAGACCTTGATTATTCGTCCTGATCCTTTACAGGTGTTGCATGTTGATGTAAAAGGAGGAATTGCAACCTGGTTAATAGTTAATATAGTATAATAAATAAAAGGAAACACGTATTATCTTCAAAACTAAACCTTATTGGAAGGATTTATACACTAATCACCATCAAAAATAGATCATCAAAAAACTCACTGTCCCTGTGCCTCTGCAAGTTGGACAAACTTTCACTTTGGCATTAGGTGGGTAGCCACGCCCATCTGCATTTAAACAAGGCAAGAGAAAACTATATCATCTATAAAGAGGAAAGGAAACAATCCTTCAAACAAACGGAAAGTATAGAGAAATACAACAAGATGCAGGAAAATATTTGCAATAAATTAAGCACTTCATTTCTAACAGTAAAGAGAATAAATAGCAAATTTTAAAGAAATGAAAATTGAGAAGTAGAAGGATTAATGCATGCAAAGACGACATCTGTGCTTGATGATTCTTGAACAAATAATTCTAAAAAAATTTTAGCTCCCCTTACCGCAAGAATCACAAGGAACAAATGCGTCAAAACTTAGATCCTTTGTGCATCCTTTAGCAGCTTCAGAAAAAGAGAGCAACAGCTTTGTCTAAAAAACTCCAAACAGAACATATTTTAACTTGAAAATGTAAATTGTGAAGTTAGGAGAAAAATTCCAAAGAGAAAAATGTATTTACCTGGATATCTGGTGCAAATTGATCCATCTCGTCTTCAAATATCTGCAACATCAAGTTTCGGCATTTTACAAATCATGACAACCAATTACATGAAGATGAGAATAAAAAGAGGGAACACCGAATACCTCAGAAAATATCTTACAGAATGAATCAGAGAAGTTTGTTCCATAAGTATATTTAAACCCTTGTGCACCACTCGCATCGTAGAATCTAAACCCTTCAGCATCATTTGCACCATATTCCATGTCTTCTGAACTTCTAGCACGCATCTTCTTCGGAAAGATTCAAAGTAATTCAATTAGTTCAGAAACCACATACATTAAAATGCAGATGATTTAAAAGCCCCATCCAAGTAAGACTTGGTGGCAACCATTGCCTAAGTAAGACTTGGTGGCAACTATTGCCTAAGCACCAACAGTAACAAAAATGTACCAAAGTTTCACTTTCTGGAGGGGGGAAAAAAAAGCAGCAACAACAACAAACCAGGAAAAAGGGGATGTAAGTGTTACCCTGTCATATTCTCTCCTCTTTTCTGAATCTTGCAAAGTCTGCAATTAACCACACCAAAAGGATAAATGGAAATTTTTTAACAAGATTTAAAAAGAAAATCAACCAGAATTAGACTTTTGCATATGTTCTGTCATTGGGAAGGACAAAATTTTGAGATTAACCAACAACTACAAAACTACAAACCTTATAGGCATCTGTTATCTCTTGAAACTTCCTCTTTGCAGAAGGATTATTCTTATTTGCATCAGGATGGTACTTCTTGGCAAGCTGCATATCCAAAAAAATAACCCCCAAAAAACCCCCAAAATGATTTCTATGTATTAATCAACAAAATTATATCAAGAACTTATTTCAGAAGGTGCAAAAGCCAACATCTATCTACTTACCGCACGATAAGCCTGTTTAATCTCATCTCGAGTAGCATTTTTGGGCACTCCAATAATTTCATAGTAGTCTTGTTTAGCAGAGCAACATGACCCTAGAAAAATGCATTAAACTAAGAAAAATTGAATTCATCACCAAAACAAAAAAATGAAAACCATTTAAAAATAACCTGTTGCATGGAAATAACGCTCCCTCAATGGCATTCCTGTGGCCGTAAAATCAACAGGTTTTCCAATACCAAAACTGCAACTGTGTAATGCTATAATGAAAAAGGAGATAATTGTTACTATTAGTCGATGAAAAATGTGCATTCAAAAATTACACTGAAATCGGTTTTAGAAGTATGCGTGGAATACCCCTTTCACGATTTAGCGATTGGAATAGAGTAGAAAATTTCGTAACCCCACCGCCTCCATCAATCGCCGATTCCACAGGCATGGTTGAAGCCCAATGCGGTCGACACTGCACGTCCAAAAGAAGAATGATTTTTCGAATTAAATTGAAGTTAAAGAAAAATTGGTTAAGAATTTGTGTTGAGGGCACTTACTAGCCTTAGCCAGTTGAATCTTCCCATTTTGGAGCTGAAAATGTTATGTAAAATTAATCCTTGAACCAACTCTGAAGGCAATTTAAAGGAAAATTTGTTGAAATATTTAGGCGTCAAAGGCAATAAAAAGAATCAAACGAGTCGTGTTGCTCAAGTAAAAATATTCGGGTCGATTCGCCGGATTGCAATGGCAGCGACAAGCCTACGAGCGCCACGTAAAGGCAGCTATGCGGCCCCGAGTTACGCGATGGCGATGCCAAGTGTGGAAACTGCTGCTACCAGTAGCAAGGTAAGTCTAAAAGAGGAGTATTTTGGGTTTGAAATCACCATGGGCAAGTGGAACAGCAGTGCTTCAAAAAAAAATCAGGTGGATTCGGGTCATACGAGAATTCGAGGATCCGATTATTTAAAATTAAATTAGCTATATTATTATTTATTAATCAAGTTGGCTATATTAACTTTAAAATTTAATCGCGTGTACCCTTTGAACCATTCACGTGTGTCAACCAAAGAATATAGAACCAATCGAAGCCGCGTATTCAGTGGGTAGGGTCGACTATTTTTTATTTTTAGCTTTAAATTTTTATATCATATTAATTTTTATATTTATATTTTAATAAATATTTTAAATTTATTTTTATGTTTATTTAATGAGTATGAATAATTGATATATTCATAATTTTTAAAAAAATAAAAAGAAAATTTTTATTTTTACCTTAATATTTAGATAATTTTTTTATAAATACACATTAATATATTTTTAATAAAAAATATTAATTTTAATTAATTTAAAATAATAAAATAGATTATTTAATAAAAAACTATTTATTAAATATATATTAAATATAGATACAGTTCAAATATTATATTATAATCTCCATCCTCACATTTAATAAAAATTAAAAATTATACATATTTTTATATCATTTTTATAATATAATATTTATTTTTATCTCCGTTCAAATAAAAATATAATTTTTTATTGAGTATCGGTTAGATTAAAATCACGAAAACCAATCCGACGCTAAAAACTAACCACATCAACTATCTTCATGAAGCCGCTGCCAACGGAAATAACCCCTCAAAAAACCAGGTACCCGACTGAGACCCGGATTCAGAAAACCTATTTAGTTGAGACTACAAGTTTTCTGATACAAAAGGACTTTTCCAATCTTCAAATCTCTCGACCCGGATTTTGGCAATTATTTACTCACGTAATCTCGCTAATTCTTCCCTTCTTTTTTTTTTTTTTTTCCTTGGATTATAATTTTATTTATTTAATATGAATATATATAAATTTATTTTTTTAATTTATATTTAAATCTTTAAAATTCATAACATATATAAAATTTATATTTATTGATTTGTTATTAAAAATAAATTTTTTGAAAACAACAAAAAAATTTATATCTTTTCTTTTAATATTTTTATTTACAATAATATTTATACACTTATAAAATTATATCAAATAAAAATAAATTATATTTTTTAAATAAAAATATATATTATTAAATGATAAATTAAATAATAAAAAATATTAACACATTTTCATTTTAATAATTATGACTAAATTATTATATAAAATATGAAAAGTATTAGAAAATATATACAAAAGAAAAAATAAATTGAAAAAAATATTATTTTTATAAGAATTAAATTGTAATAATAATAAAATTGCTTAGTGATAATTAAGATTAAATAGATAATATTTAAATTAATTTTTTAAATTTTAAAATGAATATAATAAGTGATAAAGATAATATTAAATTTTTTATATTTATTTAAAATATAAATTTGATAATTAGAGGTCAAATAGATATAATCATTTTAATAATTTTATTATTTAAAGATTTAAGATAAAATTTTTGGAATTTTCAAAATCTTATATAAAATTGCTTGAATTTTTAATGTTTTACGTAAATTTTTTTTAAAAAGATAAATTTTTAAATCAAGATAAAAAATATTTTTTAAAAATTTAGATAAACTTAATATTTATAATTTTTAAACATGTTTAAAAGATTTTGATAATTAAATAATTTTTTAAAAAAGGTTATTTGATAAATAACTAAAATTAAAAAAAATCCATATTTCATATTTTTAATTTTAAAATTGATTTTATTTTTAATTATAATTTGAATAATTTTGATATTTGAATAAATTTAAAATTATCTAATTTGTAATTAAAAGAAATCATTTTATTATTTTAAAAAATTATTCTATGTTATTCACATAGATGTCTATGTAATAAATTTATTTACGTATATTATTATATATATATATATAAGATATATTAGATTTGGGTCTCCTTTTGTGGAATTTGAGGGATTTTTTTGCTATGTTTAACGCAATATTTAGATAAATATTAATAAAATAAAGTAAAATAAAGTCTTTTAAAGAAAAAGAAATGATATATATGTACATCTTATTTTGATAATTAAAATTAATTAAGAATAACAAATGAAATAAATTCTAACAACTATTATTTTGATAAATAGTAAAAAAGAAAAAAATTTATTTATTATAATAATTTTTTCCAATTAACCTTTCATTGCTTTTGATTTTAAAGTGTTCATGGATCATGATATATTTATTATCTTATCTGACCTCACAATTGTTGTTATATTAATGGTTTTTAATCAAATAAAATAAGAAGATGTTTTTATAAATAGGCATTAATGGATTTTTTTGTTATTGTCAAAATTTCAGTACACTATCACTTTGACAATTTATCATCTTAACTAATCAAACTCAAATTATAATATATGATATATAAAAATAAAATTTTTTTAGTTAATCTGATATCTCATAAATCCAAAATATATGTCTATTCATATTAAATCATTTATCAAAATCAAATTATCAAAAAATTATAACAAAAAATTTTATAATGAAAGATACATGTGAAATTTACTTGAAAAAAGATATGATTTTTGAAAAAATTACAAGAAAATTATTATGTGATTAGATTGTTTTACTAGGTTTTTAGTATTAATAAAAAAATAAATATAATAATTTTTTTATAAAAATAAAAAAATTTTAATTTTTTTTTTTTAGCTTTTCTCTCAAATTGAGGTATTAAAAAGATAAAGATTATAAGAAAAATAAAAGATTATTGAATTTTCATTTTTTTAATTAAAAATTTATTACTAACAAGTGATTGACTTAATCGATTAAGCTCGTCACAAAGAGGTATTTGGTTTGAGTCATGCTGGTGGTCACTTGTTGAGATCATCTCGAATGTATATCTGTAACTATTTATTTTAGGCTGTCAAATATGACACATCTTATCGTAACATGCGAAACTGAACAGCCGTACTCAAAAATTTTGATTTCAAAAAAAAAAATTTTATTCAAATAAAAAAAGAGCTTTTCTATTTTCATTATTTTCATTTCCTTTCTCTCTTTTCTCTTCGATCCAAACATAGTATAAAGGTTCGTTGTTTGCCGTAAATTTCTGATTTTTTTAAATTTTATTTTGGTGGTTGGATTGAAATTTTTGAATAATGATAGAATAAGGTTAGGATTTTGATCTCGGTTCTACCTGGTTCCCAGTGAAAAAAGCAAACAGGACCGACATTCAGTATCTTCACTTTATATTTTAAAATAAATGTTCCCTTTTTAATTAAATATGAGCATTTTAAAACCTTGACTTAAATTGGGGACTCGCAGCATGTTGTGGCTTAGTGAATCAAGTTTTTATTTTATTTTATTTGCTTTTTTTTTTCTATTTTTCCTTTGTTTTTTGATAATCATTTTTTTATTTACAGGAAAAGAAAACAGAAGATCTTGCGCAATAAAATTGGATGTTTTCGTTGATAATCAGTATTTTTTTTTCTGAAACTTAAATGTATCCAGGGTGTAATTTTAGATAAGTCTGTTTGAACTGATTCTTGACTTGATGAGAAAGAAGAGGAAAGGAAGTAAAACCGATGATGCATCTCCAGAGGTAACCAACAATTTTGCATCGATTTGTGATTCCAGATCATCTAACATTAGGTCTCACTATTCGTTAGAAGATTATGCCAGGATAAAAAAGAGGTGCAAGGAAGATGTAGTTGCACCTCCTGTCGGCTCATGTAAAAGTTGACCTGCCGGCATTGCTACTGCCCCACCTTGCGGTGCATCCTCTTTGGTGCCTCCGGGAAGAGGCCTTAAGAGGAAGATAGGGTGCATTGAGGTAATTACACGAATTGGTAGGAAGAAAAAGATTGAGGATGATTATGCTAAAGGTGACACAATTGGCCAAGGGAAATTTGGGTCGGTTTGGTTCTGTAGGTCTAGGACTAGTGGAGTAAAGCTTGCGTGTAAAACCCTGTATAAGGGAGAGGAGACAGTTCATAGAGAAGTAGAGACAATGCAGTATTTATCTGGCCATCCTGGGGTTGTGACTTTGAAGGCAGTGTATGAGGAGGCAGACTGCTTTCATCTTGTAGTGGAGTTGTGCTCTGGAGGTCGTTTGATTGACCAAATGGCAGAAAGTCAGTATTCAGAGCAATGCGCTGCTAATATTTTTAAGGATGTGATGTTAGTCAGTAAGTACTGTCATGAGATGGGTGTTGTGCATAGAGATATAAAGTCGGAGAATATTCTTCTCACAACTTCAGGAAAGATAAAGCTGGCAGATTTTGGTCTTGCCATGAGAATTTCCAATGGTGAATATCTCACACCTGCTTTGAAGAATATTACCTTCACTTTTTATTGATTCTTTTAAATTCTTGCTTTTTTTGTTATCTTGCAACTCAATGTTCAAATGTTTGGAGACGTAGAGTTTAGTTTGTATGTTCTCATTGTTTGCTAAGTATGGTGACATCTTTATTTTGAGATTGGCTGCAAAATGCCAGTCTAACATATGCCTGAAGGAAGAGGGAGAGGGAGAAATAAGTTGTTGCATGAGACAAGAAGACAAATCTTCCTGTCTGCTTATTGATGAAGAGAACCTCAGTTGTTATCCGGCCTGGAAGGCTGGAACATTATATATTTTCCTTTCTATGGCCATGTCTCGGTTGGTGGCAGGAACAAGAGAATTTGCTGAAGAAAAGGATTAACAAAATATTATCTTTCAAGGTGCTTAAATTTATATTAAATAATAGTAAAATGAATTCAAGCATTAAAGGAGTCTACAACTATCAGTAATATGAGTAGCGATTGAGGATTGTTGATATCTGTCTGAGAGCACGGGAGGGACTATGGCCTAGTTTTAGCCTGTCCAACCACACAAATTTGTAAAACTAAATTATATTATAATTGCTAAAAAAATTGAAACTATATATTTACTGGGGCATACAAATTATCGTCCTTGAACTACAAGTCTCTCAGACTAGTTTATTTGATTTTAATTTCAATGTTCTCATGTTCTAAATTGTTATATCTAAAGGTTTTTACTTTTTAGCTATTTCTTCCCCCTTGAACATTCTTATGCATAAGTAAATTTGATCATGCTAAAAGACACTAGCATATTGCCTTGGGAAAGTTCTGCTTAGTATCTGCTTGTCTCCTTTTTAAGCTATGCCTAATGCTTTGGTGATACAATTACCATTTACTACAGGTCAGACTTTGTCTGGTTTGGCTGGAAGTACGGCTAATGTTGCACCTGAGATTTTATTGGGAAATTATTGTGAGAAGGTTGATATTTGGAGTGCTGGTGTGCTTGTACATGCTCTTTTGATTGGTGTTCTTCCATTTCAAGGAGACTCCTTGAAGGCAGTGTTTGAGGCCATCAAGAATGTAAAGCTTGATTTTCGCGCAGGGATGTGGGAGTCTGTATCCAAACCTGCATGTGATCTGTTGGCAAGAATGCTGACAAGGGATGTTTCATCACGGATTACAGCTGGTGAAGTACTAATTAAGCCCCAACTTTCTCTTTACTGGAAACTTAAATAATACATACACATTCACCAGAAGTTTATGAATTAGGCTTGCATTCATCAATGAATCATTTAACTTTGCTAATTATAGTATTAAGTTGTTGATTCTTGAGCCATCATACAGGTGATTCATTAATATATTTTCATCTTGATTTTTTCTTTCTTAGTATTGATTCTGCCACTCGTTATGTTTTTCTTTTTCAATATATGTAGACTTTATTCATTCTTTTTACCCAAACAATCTGTTATTTGATTAGCAATTTATCTTAGGTCTTGAATAGGGGCTAACATTACAATTCTTGTAAAAGCTTAATCATTAGACTTCACTTGCTGACATTCTAATTGTGTAATTTCAGGGCATCCTTGGATATTGTTCTACACTTAGCACTCATTAAAGACATTATCCACCAAATCAAAGTCGAAGAATCAAGTAGGACCTTCCAAAATACCAATTTTCCTGGATCCAAGTTAAGTGTGAGGAGGATATATGGTGGTTCTCATAGTCAGGGTCCACAGCCAGTCTTAACGTCCAACAGTTCAAGCTGCGAGTCAGAGGAACAAGATGAAAATGGTGTGGTGGATGTGCTTGCTGTGGCAATTTTCAGTCTGAGGATTTCTGACCCAAAGAGGAGCAGACTTTATAGTCCCACAGGACCTATAGAGCAGCAGTGTTCATCTAACCTGACAGCTAACAACCTCTATAGAGCCCTTTGATCCTGCTGATGCAACTAACATGATTATCTCCACTGTTTTTTGAGCTGGGGATTGAGAATTAACCTGCCCTGGTTGCCATTTCAGTGGGCAAATGATACTTATGGATGAACTTAACATCGATCCCGTGACAATGGTGTCATCTCTTAGCAAAGCTTTTCGTCTTCCAAGCCATGGTGTTAATTTGCTCTAGCCCGGTTACAACCACTGACCAGAAAGAATTACTGTACAGATTAAATAGATCCTTTTAGATCACTTTTCCTTCTCGGTTGTACTTGTGCAGGTGTGTGTTAAGTCCGGGGATATGAAAGTTTCCATCTTTAGTAACATAGGTAAGTTGTCGCTGAAGAAATGTTCATAGCCTTATAAAGATTTGTTTCAGTGATGAGGTCTGAAAGCAGTATAGCCATTTCCCCTTGAATGCTCTTCCATCCTGGGTAACTTCGGAATAAGAAGGTAAACAATTTTAAGCATGAAATTTCCCTTTCTTTTCTGGGAGAAAACATGAATACAAAGGCTGGCTAATACAATATTGTCAAGGTTAACATGCCCTATGCAGGCAATCATGATTAGATCTATCAATTTTATGTGTAAAGCATACTTATTATGTTGAAACTTACCAACTCATACCATGAATATAATTATTATATGTAAAGCATACTTCAATAAAAACAATTTCATCCAAGTGTTGTAAAGCACTTTTAAAGCTGCAGCATGGACCATATAAGCATTCTTTAGAACTAGGGATTAATATGGCAACAATATCTCTGGTCTTGGACGATAGAACTAATGTCTCACCGCGGCATAAGAAAAACCTAGAACTAATATTTTCCTAGTAGTCATCAAGAAAGCTTTAGACAACCAACTTTACCCAAACTGTTACCGGCATTTAGACACCATTTTCAATCGCCAATCAACATGCATTCATCAGTCTCGCAAACTTCATCTTCTGGACAATTTGGACCACATGTAGACAACAAAGAAGCAAAACAGTGCAAAAAGAACCACATGAACTATATGGTTTGAACCATGCTTGATTATGCTCTTGTTCAGTTTCCTAATGTTGTTCTTCACCCCTGCTTGAGCTTTAATCATGGTCAGTTGCTGTCATAAAATAAGATTGCACATTTAGAAAGCTGAAAAAAGAATTTTTACAAATATAAATAACAAAGCATTATGACCTAGATTTTAAGTAATGCAATGCTATCTTAAAGGGAAAATTGCCATTAAAACAATGATAGAACTCATTCTGGATGCATGTGTGTACATGTGCTTAATAAAAGGGGCATCAAAGAAAGAGGACAATGGCCGTAGATAACAGTTGAAATCATCAAAGGGTTAATTATCAAGAACAGCTTCCTGTTTTCTTTTGCACTTAGCCACCATCACTTGATGCCTGATAGCTAACAGGACTTTGCCTCCTTGTCTACCACAAAATAGAAAGAGATGGAGGGAAAGAATGATTGGATGAATTATAGAACAGCAAAGTACATTAAATTTAACTACCATAATTAAAATGTGCTTGCCTAATACAATATATGAACAGAAGAACAAAGAGCATGTTTCCTACCTATACAAACCCTGGGTGGAAAATTACTTCTAACAACTTTAGATGAAAGAGGAAGATCTCATCACTATCTTTTACATAATAGAGAAATCACATGATAAATACATTGTCAGACGTGGATAAGCAAGAATTAACATTTCCCACTTTTTCAGGTTATTTTTCAACACTTCCATAGGTCAAATGGTTCAAAATTTTATTCCCCCTTCATTTCACTTCAGTATACAATACCGGGTTGCAATTTTATAATAAACCCATCAAATGTGTATGACAGACTACGGTGGTGATTCCTCCTATGGAACCAACAAAACGTCGTAGCAAGGACATAGCATGCTAAAAACCATAAAGAGAAAAAATGTGAAGCAAGGGTGCATTTAGCAGTAATAAATACCAGCTGATCTAAAAAGTCCTTCTGAAATTTTGCTTCTGATCCTATCTCTTGAGCAACCTGCACCAATACTTTTCAGTAAGAACCAAGTAAAGACAACCTTTAAGATTCACATGAATCAGCCAGTCAGAGCTAAAGACATTAATACAAAGGAAAAATGTACCCTTCTCTTCCCCCTCACAACAAACATCTTTGCAGCAAGGGTCAAGATATACATCCCCACAAGAAATACAGATGCAACTCCAATAGAAAAAGGAGTAACATGTTAAACACTATTAGAACATATATTTGATATTTATCTTCATTGTTCTAGTTTCCAATTTCTTTCCAGGAAGGAATATAGACCAAAGCATTAGCAAAAAGATTATTATGACATGTGCTAAAAACCAAAAGATATCCAAATGGATGACAGGGTTTCTTCTAAGGAATAAATTAAACTCAATTTAGCTTATTTTGTTAAAGCCAAACAAAACAAATAGGAAAATTTGCATCAAAATATCAGTAAGATCTTGTTCAATTTTTAAGAGCCTGAATATCATTTATGCACTTCATCCAATAGAAAAAAGCAAAAGGGTAAAAGAAAGTCCCTAAATTAAAATTCAATAATCATTCAAACTACTATCCTATTATAATTATTTCTGTCCAATGAAAGATATAATTGAGTGAAAATAAATATTTAAAATTTCAATTTATTCGAAATTTAAATTCATAGCTTGATTTATTACAATATCAAGGGCTTAAATAATTATTAATCTTTTATTTGAGGGTTTTTAACCCTTTTACCCAAAAAATAAAAAATAAATAAAGATAAAATGAATCATAAATATCAAATTAGAAAATAAATAAATAAATCTTACATTTCTCAATAATTTAACTTGGCTACGAAGACCGGTGATCTCATCGTCTAAATCAGCATGTATAGGATCAATCCGCAATTGTATTTCATCAGAGCTTGCCACCGGTCTCGTGCTTAAACCCTCCCTATTTCAATGTTAACAATAATCAAAATTAGCTCCGATAAAAAAAATTTTTTTTTAAAAAGGAAAGTTAAGAAATTCTAAACCGTTCAATTCTGTGATTAAAAATTAATTAAATCGAAAGAATTTCAAGAAAACAAACAAAATTATAGAATTATACCTTGATCGGTAATGTGCGGCACCGCCGTAGAAAGAATCGCCACCGTTTCGATTCGAAGTTGACGCCATCAAAACGGAATATATAAATTAGCGAAGAACTTAAAAACAACAATGGAATTCCGAGTTAAGGAAAAAGAAAATTGACGCAATAGCTCGCCCGATTTTGAAAGTCTCTGGAGTCGGCAATGACGTAATCGAAATCTAGTTTTGCTTCTCCGGATGTACTTAAAATTTATTTTCATATAAAGAAAATAATGACTCTGTCGATAGAGAGATCCACCGTTGGTTTATAATCGTGCGGCGCTGGAAACTTCTATTTTCCTTGTTTTTTTTTTCGTCCTATCTGTTTTATTTACGCGTGACCCTGGATCTTTTTATGGTCGACATTCTGGCTTTGAATTTTTAAGGCTCGTCAACTATTTCATTAGATTCCGGATTTTAATTCTAATCATTCTAATATATATATTTTAAAACTTTTAACAATTATGGAAAGAAATATAAGTTTCTTTCGAGTTATGATTTAATAAATTTAATATTATAAAAGTTATCATAAAATTTTGACGTAATTTAATTATAATTATAAAGTTTTAATTAAAATCAAATTTATTTAATTTAAATATTTAAAATAAAATTTATCTATTATTATAAATTAGCATGTTGAGATTGCCATTAAATTACATCAAAATTTTATAATAATTTTAATAAAATAAAAGTTCATAAAACCAAAACTCTTAGGTAAAGTCTCGTATGAGATGATCATTTTAAAAATCATAATAATTTATATATGATAATTAAATTATTATATTTAATAAGCAATTGATAATTTTACATAGTAATCAGATCATTATCTTAAAGAATGATTTAATTTTCATACAAAATAATAAAAAATTTTAATTATTGAGGTGAAATGATATATAAAATTAATAACAATAAATTTTATCTATTTAATATATGAATAAAAATCTTACTGCATTTTAATATTATAATTAATAAATTTTTATATTTTCAAACTAATATTTATTATAACAATTTCAAACTAGTTTGTATATTTTGTATTTTTTTCAATATTTTATATATAATATAATTTTTTATTTTTCTTTTACTATGACTTTAATATAATCTTTTTTTAATTTAAATATTTTTATAATTTATATTATAAAAATAAATTTACCTATCAATAAATATATTTATTAATTTAACAATTTAATTATATTTATTATAAAATAAATAATATTACTAATGTTTTATAAATTATTATCTTTAAACAACCATAAAATTATTAATTTATATAACTATTATAATATACATGATTATTTTAATACTTTTAAACAAAATAATATTTGATTTTTAGTAATATAAAACACATTGATTTTTAATGTCTAAGAATTAATTATTATTAATAAAATAAAATTATTTCAAATTATGAATGTTAAAATCACTTTAATAATAAAATCACTCCAATAATTATATTACCACGATATTCTTGCAAAAGATACTAAAACACTACCTTATATCTTTATATAAATGTTGTACCTATCAACTCTAATTTAAATCATGAAATTGAAAATGAATAAAATTTATGAGTGGATAAAAGTTAAATATTATTTATACTACTTATAAAATATTTAAATAAATTTAGTATTATCAATCAAATGAAAATATTCAATTGCGTGCAATAATAAAAAATTAATAAAAATATAAATAATTTCCTTTCAATCAATTTAAAAATATCACTAAAAACTACAAAATAATTATTTGATTTTTTTACTTATTTCTCACTTAAAATTTTTTATTTACTTTTTTTCGCCCATGTAATGACAAGTGGATGTGTCATAATCTTGTATAGATTAATCATAGAATATCACCAAAGAGACTGATTTGAAAGAAGCACAAAATCTTATATCAATTATTTTTTAAATAAAAATAAAAATAAAATTTACTATTAAAGCTTTAATCATCCCCTAAAAATATCTTATCACCTAAAAAAAAATTGCTATACATACACAGATAATAGAATATACTATAAATTTAACTCATATTTCAATAATATCAGAATTGACGTCAAATATGACATATGTTTCGTGCAATGAGAGAATATAATAATAAGTGATTAATTTAATTAATTAATATTTAAAAAAAAATTTAAGTATGAGTTTTGTTAATAATTATTTATTGAAATCGTATCGAATACATGATTTATAATAATTTATTTTAAATTATTAGATATAATATATCTTATTTTAATTTAATATCAATAATTTATTTATTTTGAATTAAAAAAAAACACGTGGAATATTAATCGTAAATGGAAGCAGCGGGTGTTCGCACTCGCCTTTCCTCGTGGGAAACAGGGAAAACGTGAGTAATGAGAGAGAGGAGCGGCTAACAATCAGCAATATCCGACAAATCATAACCGTTCCAATGAATCTTTAAGACTTTATAACCGTCAATTTCTTAGACTTGACTATCCGTACCTTTCCATTCTCGGAGACTAGTCGTTTTCAATGAGTAGCCTTTTACTCGCACGCGTCAAGCGAGATTCTCAGACAATATTCTCGTCCTTGGTCGGCCTATAATTCTAGCAACCCAAACGCCCCAAAAAAACCAACGGAAACTGATAAAAAGAAGAAAAGAGTCGGGTATTGGAATTTTTTGTTTAAAGGAGAGATGGGAGGAGAAGCTGAGACTTGTCAGGAAACCAAGATTTCTTTGCCTCCGTGGATTCAGAACAAGCGGAGCGATTCTCTAGAAACAGATAGAGAACAAGTGGCCTCAATCAGTGTTAGAAAAGATTGATCTGGTTTACCCTAATGCGCCTTTTCCAGCACAAGGGAATTCCCAAGTCGAAGGGATCTTTGATCCTCCTTACTACGAGTGGTTTCAGTTCAATAAGGTAAACAAATCCTATTGCTCGTTTTCTTCTTAAAATATTTGTAATTTGCATGCGTTTTATCAGGAAAAAATGTTAGTGTCAAGCCCTTTACGTGAGGGTAGAAATTTAAAATGATGGTATAGAAGATCGTCAATAGCATAGGTTTTCTCGATATTTATGCTCTAACACTCAAATTATTGTTGGATAAAAAAATTAAAAAGTATAAAACTTCAGTTGTTTAGTACTTTCAAAGAATTATTTATAATTAGGTGGTGAAGATTAAGGGTGTAATTAAATCGAATCAAGTCGATACAGTAAAAAATTCGAGTTCGAGTTCAACTTTTAATTTGTGGCTCGATACTTGACTCAAACTCGATCGAATTTTATTTTTTTAATTCGAACTCGATTCGTGATCAAAATCGAACTACTCAAGCTCGTTCGATTAAGCTCGATTAATATATAAAAATAAGCTTGATTCTTATATTCGATAAAAGCTCGATTACCTGAACTCGAGCTCAAATTCGAGATCTTTTACAACTATTTTTATTAAATCTAATAAATATTATATTTTCAAAATAATAACAATAATAATAGCAATAATAGCAATAATAATAACAACAATAATAATAAAAAACTTACACAACAACCAAATCCAAATAAATAAAAGTCTCATCAAATTATTCAAATACAACACACAAATTTGCTTAGTCCCATTTAATTTTTTTATTTTTGCTTTTCAAAGAAATATGTATAATTCTTCATCATATTTATTCACTGTAATTTTGCGTCTCCATCTATGCATATTTCTTTATTTTTGCTTTTCATAGCAAAACCAAGTACGTACAAAACAAACCAACCTAACAATTTTAAGATTTCATCTTCATCTAAAGTTTAAGATTTCATCTTGAAAGTCTGGAGCTCGAGTCATGAAATAAATGGAAGGAATTTGTTTTCTCCTTAAATTAATTCATTGCTATGCTTTTGTGCAAAAGCCACTGGTATTCAATTATAATCTAAAATTAAATAACTTAAGGGAAACAAAGAAAAGTAAAAGCTCATGAATTTGTTTCATTAGGTTTCCCTACCAATAATCTGTTATAGAAATCCAATGCCTCTCGAGGTTTATATTTTAAGACAGTATGCCCAGCTCCCTGAACCACACCAACAAAAAAGGTTGAATCATAAAATAGATAGATCAAAACCGAAATTTTAGAAATCTACAATTTGACAATATTTCTCTATTGATGCATCCTAGTTATTATCCTGCTACATTCATAATATTAGCCAAAAAAATGTCCGCGATGTCGTACCTTTATGATTAAAAAGGTCAGATTGTTGTCATAACTTTGAAAATACCTACAAATTCATTAAAAAAAAAATACTAATTCAATTTTGAAGTGAAAATTGAAATGCTTTCAAGTTTATAGAACACAACATGGAAGGCATTGGTTTGGAAAGAAAATAAATCTAATTTATTTGAAAATCCACTAGTAACAGATTCAGGATAAGATAAGATTCCTATTATCGAAATAATAATTTTACACATGTTAAGGGAAGAAATGGACTGAAAGTACCAAGCAATTTGTCCATTGGAAGTCTATGGCCTCCATTCATCCACTATCTTATATCCAACTGATCTTGTCCATGCTCACTCCCGGTGAATGGAACACATATTGTGATCCCCACTACCAGAAAAGTTAAATACACAGCACTTATCTGAGAACATAGACCCAATAGACATTTGCAAATATAATGTAGAGCACTCATTTGTCATGACACTAAAAACTAAACTTCATTTCCCTTAATTTTGAACAAGTAGCTGAAATGGGAGTTTGCACATCATGAAATTCAATCAATTAATGCAGCTTTAGATAAAAACAATGCTCAGGGATTTGGTCAAAGAAAAAAAAATTATAACCACTTAGGGAATACAAAGAAACAAAACAATTTAGGACAACAACCTGACCTTATAAAAACAATATATATTTGTGTTCAAAATTTTAAAATTTAATTTAATTGATTATACAATTATTTTTAAAATATAAAATTTAACATATTTAGATTTAAATTTCAACGCATATAATTATTTTTCAAATGATATAATATGTGGTCTTAATTTTTCATCTCTTTCTCTACAGACTACTCCTATCCAAAATTTACATTAAACTTCGTCTCATTCTAACAAAGAACTTTTAACATAAGATATAATTATTGAAGAAATCTGCTCAAGCTAAGACTAAATCTTATCTCAAATCACCTAAAATAGAAGTCTAAAAAGAATAAACAAGATCAAAAAACAGGTTTGCTTGAGTTGATAATATAAATAGCTATCGTATCGATAATTTCTAAATTGATAAGAGAATAATAACAACAAATTTAAAAAAAAAAAAACAAATGAATAAATAAATTTAGGGTTTTTGAAAAGGATAGGATAATAATAATAATAATAATAATAATAATAATAATAATAATAAGTATAATGAAATAAATACGAATGATTTAAGGCATTGATAAGAATTTGGACTCAAAGTTGAATTGAAAAGGGCGACGCAGCTAGTGGCTAACGAGATGATAGAGATAGGGAGAAAGGAGGAAAGACAAAAAGGAAATAAGAAAATAAAAGTTTAGGGATTTTTAAATTAAGGGTAAGATGATAATTTATAAATAAAATAATAAAAATATATATAATAAAAAAATTTATTAGGTTTACGAGCTATTCGAACCAAATACTAATATGTTTAAACTTGGCTCGTTCGATAAATCAAACTGTTTGAGCTCAGTTCAATAATTATTAAATTAAATTTAAATTTTAATCGAATCAAATCTAAATAATTTACGAATATTAATGCATCATTTATAATTTTAATAAAAATATTAGATCTAAGTGACTCAAGCTTCACATGGTGGGATTAGATTGATATCATCAGCTCGAGGTGAGCTAATTATTAATAATTTAATTAAGATATGATAAATTAATATTTTCATGTGTTGTTAATAATTAGTTGTGGTGACTAAATTAATATAAAATTTTAAATTTTAAATTAATTTAATATGTCAACTCAATCGAATTAATTAAATTAGTTACTGGCTCACATTTTAAGAATGACCATTTTATTCTTGGACCACAAAATGCCTCAAACAAAAAGAACATGGGTTTACTTCTATTTTGTGTTTTGTTTTATGTACTTGCAGGAATTTACGAGTTACACATACTGAATCTAAAAGGCTTATCAACTAAATCTGTGACTTCCTCAAACTTTGGATGAAGCCTTAGCTTGAATAGTTGAGTACTTCAATTCCATCCCTTAAAACTTATGCCCTATTCCCCATAAAAGGGTGTGAATGTGATTAAGATATAATATGCGATATCTTTAAATACTAAAAAATTAAAAAATATATGCTCTAATTATAAAGGTTACCTGTTAGAATTATATATTCTCCACTCTGTTCACCTAAAAAAATTTGGTATCTATTTCTTTGATAGTTTATAGTGTTTTTGAGAGAAATATTAAGAAAAAAAAAAGAAAATTGGAGAAAGAAAGAACAAAATAAATTGAGATAGAAGTATTATTTTTAGGTCATATTTAATATATAAAATTATGATAAGATAGGATAAGATAACATTATAAATAAGATTAAATTAAATAATATCATTTTATTTTATATTTAATGTGTGCAAAGTTTAAGATAGAATAATTTATTTATTGATCAAAATTATCTTTCCTCAATGTTTATACAATTTAAATTATTTATATAATTTTTAAATATGTAATAAGACATATAAATTTAATCCTATAGAATAAAAATAATCTTTTTCACTTTGAAATGATTGAATCATCATTTACTAAGATAATGATAATCCTTTTTATAATTTTATCCATTTTAATTAGATACAAATCAAATTTAATATAAAATAATTATTATATTATCCTATGTATTAAACATGGTGTAAGTATATTGTAAAATTTTCACCTTTTTTCGGGTGGCAGGCTCATCTCTCTATTTTATACAATTCATCAGCAATATCAAAATAGAATATGAAACTGTAATTAATCCAGGTGCATGTCTCATTGAAGGCATCAGTAAAATTTCTTAAAAATAAAATGAAACAGGAGACTGCTGCTTAATTTTTGGCTTGAATGTAACTAACTCTCATTTTCCCAATTTGACCAAAATGGTTCTAGATTCTGGTAAATCTGTTTTGTTGAAGGAGAGACAGATCTCTTCAAACCTTACGGGTTGGAGCTCTTGGAATCCTGCGTAGATCCTGTTGTTATTGATCACCAGAAGGGAGACATTGTTCCCAGATTTGGTAGGTTAATTTATACTATACGCATATTGATCCTTTTGGCCTGACAATAATTGTAAATTGTTATTAAGGATAGGATAAGTAATTGCAAGTACTGAAATTTAAATTCAAATTTGATAAATATTATATTGTAATTATATTTGATAATTTTAAAATATAATATGATGATATGATATAAATATGATACAAATAAAAATATGAAAATAATACAATTTAAAATTTTAATAATAATTATATATAAATTTAATAAAATTTAAAAAATATATATTTTATGTTTTTATATCAACATGAATTAAAAGCACGTAATTTTTATATAAAATATTATACGAATATATAAATTTTAATATTTTATGTGACATAAAAATACAAATTAACAAAGATGATTATACGAACTACAATAAAAAATTTTGAGTTCAATATGTTTTTAGTTATTCATTTGATTGATAGAATCTTTCCTCCTTTTTGTCGGTGTTAATTTAAGATGAAAAAAGATTAGAGACAATGCTGAACTTCTTGGAGAGGATTCAAAAGATGTTGCCTGAGAAACGAGAAAAGGAATTATACCACAAAGAGGATGTCTTAGAAGCATAGAAGAAGAAGAAAAAAAAAGAATCATTTTTATTATCAGCTAATTAGCTTGTGATAGTGGCACAAGGACCGTTCCTACAGGCAAAGTCACCTTGACCAGTATCATGAGCTATCGAGTCTTCCACCAACGACAAAATATCCTCCTCCCCCATCTCCGCACGCCCACCAAAGGATTGGTGATTCGGAGTGTCATTGTCATGGTTCGAAGGGTCAGGTGGCATTTATTCTAAGCCAAAAAACTTGCTTGTTATTTAGTTCTCCAGTTTTCCATTTTTTACCTTTGCAAACTGGTCATACATATGCAAAAATATGTACTATATGATCAGTAAAAATTACAGTAAAATTAGTTTGGCATTTTTTCTTCAATTTTGTTATGGGTTTATATGTTCATTTACTAAGGAGAGAAAAAAAAAGGAAATCGAAACAAAAATCAATCATGAAATTAAATTTTTACCAGTATGTGAAATAAAGCTGATATCTCATCGCTTTTTTGTATAAAGGAAATTGTAATGGATGAAAAAAAAAATTAAGATAAATGATAAAATTTATAAGTATTGAAATTTAAATTATAAAATATTAATTTTTTAAAAAATTATATAAATTAATTAAATTAAAATTAAAATTCAGTTGTAGTAATAAATACTTTAGTATGACATGTTTTGTCTGAATTTAATTTTCAACTAGTTACCAAGTTAGGCTGTAGCAATAAATACTTTAGTATTTCTCAATGCGAAACAATTGTTTATAAATTAATTTAAAAAAAAACCATAATGTTTGTAAAAATTTATAACGTTCCAATCTTAATTACATCCTCTGCATTATATCCAATAAAAAAAAAAAAAACTCCGGCTTCAAAAAGTTATAAGCTACCCATTTCATTATTGAAAAAAATATGATTGTGTGATATAATATAACTTTTGTATTTTTTGTTTTTATTATTGCTTTTTTATATTTAACTCGCGATGAAAAAAATCAGATAATTTGAAAAAAGGAAAAACCCCAATGCTAGGCAAAAGCAGAAGAATGATATGCTCGCTTCTCACCCAAACGCCACTTCATCTAGCATATTATTGGAGTTCTTCCATTTACAAAACCAAACCATCTACCCATCTACATAACTTCTCCTCGGTAAAATCTTGTTAGTCTCTCTTTATGCCCTTCTACCAACACTTTAACAAGTAAAGCTAAGGTTGTTTTTATTAACAGGGTTTTTTGGGTCCAATTTCGAGCCCTGCAATCCGAGCGTTTTGTTCGAAATCCGGTGAAGTGGGAGGAATGGCGTCGTCGCTCCAAAATCAGGGTTCTATTTCGTATCTGACACAGCGAGAAGCTGCTGAGATTGATGAGACTCTAATGGGTCCTCTTGGCTTTAGTGTTGATCAGCTAATGGTTAGTTAGCGTTTTTTTTTTTTAACTCCATTCATTTCTTAAATATACATTTTTTTCATTTTTCATTTTTCATTTTGCATTTCTTTTTTTTTTTTCTTTTGGTTGTTTTAAAGCTTGAACGGTTTCAGTTTATGTGAATTGTCAGGAATTGGCTGGTTTAAGCGTCGCCACATCAATTGCTGAGGTAATGGGTAATAACTTTTGTTCGTTTTGTCTATTGAATTTTGATGGTTTCCATATACCAATTTAAACAAACGAAATGTTTTTAAGTTTATTGAAGCTTGCATAAGAAGTTTCTGACCAAAGGGTTCTGTTCCTTTTGGATTGATATTGAGTTTATTTATATACCTTGTCTTGCTACTGTCTACTCTAGTACTAGTAGGATGTCAAGTATATATTGTTTAGCTTAGGATCTGCTTGAGATTATATAAGATTATACCTTGTTTCCAGATTGTAAAAGGCGCTTTTCTTGTTACAGGTTTATAAACCGAGTGAGTATAATCGTGTTCTTGCTATTTGTGGTCCGGGAAATAATGGAGGTGATGGGTTGGTTGCTGCTCGGCACTTGTATCACTTTGGATATAAGCCATTTGTGTGTTATCCTAAGCGAACTCCCAAACCCCTTTATTCTGGTCTTGTTACTCAGGTATGATACAAGGGCTTTAGTTGTAATAATCTTGAACATTACATTGTATGGTTTATCTAAGTTGTTATATAATCTGCTGGTTTTATAGCTGGAATCTCTGTCAGTCCCTTTCCTATCAGTGGATGAGCTGCCTGTGGACTTGTCTAAGGACTTTGACATTCTAGTAGATGCTATGTTTGGCTTTTCATTTCATGGTAAACTACTTGATACTCATACTATTTTTTATAATTCTTTCAACTTCATGTTTATGCATATGCGTCGTGATGCTGCAACAATATTGTGATTACCATCTTTTCATAATCAAGTTAACATCATGTTGCTATGATTCTCCTATTATTCCCCGTTAATATTGTCTTCATATAGTTTAAGATTCATATTCCTTATCACTGCTACCTGTATTTTCCTATTTTTCTGTACTGCTGAGCAATATTCCATACCTCTCAGCC